TTATATAATCACACAAGACAATACATATCATTAGCAAACATAAGCAAAATGACAAAAAAAATAACAAGCACAAATATTTGGAGTTTGTTATCCGTGTTAGGGTTTTGATTTTGAAATATCATAGGGATGTATACTGATTTTGAAATCTGGATTTTCTCGTATAAGTGAGAAATCCCAATTACCTTATAACCCTAATGTAGAATGATTCAAACAAATGATATAACCTAGTGTAGCTTAAGTAGTTTCTGATGGATGTAACCTAATGAATTTTAACTAAAATCATTTAAGGACTTGCGTTGCATGCATCAATAGTAGAAAAAAACAAGAATGAATGAGAAATTTACCAAATGTGAGAGAAAAAGTTACTTGTCTTGAATGAAGATGATTTGAAGTTGATAAAGGTGTTTGGTTTGAATGAACTTGATAGATATAGAGAGAAAATGTTGAAAAAAGGTTGGACCCGGATTTGTCAGAGATCTGGTGTTCTTGAGAGAAATTGCTTTTTTGATTTGAAATATAGGTAAGGAAGATGGAAAGACTGTCCGCGCTACTCAAACGGAAACATGCTATTTCTTCAATGTTCGCATGGTAAATTCAAATTTTGTAATCCAGACATATTCTTTACTTGCCTTTGGCATGGTTCTCATATTAGGTTTGTAATGTTGTGTTGCGTCTAGATTTCAAAATCCAAACGATGCAAAAGAAATATTTTTGAATTTTCATCAATGTGGACGAGTAATGATGGGGTGTAGTGAACAATTCCATAAAGGAGTGATTACATGCACGATACACCCATCTAGTCTTAATAAATTTTTTTTCATACACATGAATGAGAGATTGAATCTTTGATCAATTGCTTAAGGGGTCTAAGTTCCTTACCACTTGGACAAATCTATTTTTTGTGAGACTTACATCAAAAAAATTGTTTAATACATTTCACAGACCTTTCTTAAATCTTATGGAAACTCGAAATTACCCATCTGCATTGTCTGAGGATTGGAATCCAGACACACCAAAATAAAATAATTTGAAATTATATTGGATGTGTATTATGTGTATATGCATAAGGTAAATTCGAATTTCAATTTTCGGATACATCTTTAGGACACTATTTTTGACATGTGATAACAAAAATGGGTGAATCTAGATTTCAATATCTGATTACACCCTTGAGATAATAACTTTGACACATATCCTTATATATTTGATAACAAAGGGGTTAATCTAGATTCCAATCTCTGGATACACACCTAGGATACTATTTTTGACACATTTCTTGGTATATTTGGTAACAAAGGGGTGAATTCGGATTCAAATCTCTGAATACACCATTGAGACACTATCTTTGACCAATCTCCTAGTATATTTGTTAACGAAGGGGTGAATCTGAATTCTAATATCTATATGCATCTCTGAAACAATATTGTTTGTATAAGTTACAATGACAACTTTTGATAACATAAATCATAAAACATTCATAAACCAAATGTTATTTTTAACAAAAAGTGAATTTTCATAAGTCATTCACACATCAATCATTTACAAAAGCCTTTCACACATAAGCCATTTGCATAAAACATATATAATTCATAACATAGTCATTCAAAATGTTTACATTAAAGTAAAACTACTAGGTATATCTAACTCCCATATTCCTCCTCTCTCATATACTTCAATGAAAATTATGTCACTGATAGTATCACATCCAAAGTGACCCTTTCAGGAGTGCCTTCCTGAAACTCTTCTCTAGGTATAACATATATTTCAAGCGCAACAATATGGTGAGATATAGGCAATACATCTATGACATGACTCGCCTTTGTCTATTCTTCTTTTAGTAACTTCTGATGAGTTGACTTAGGGGGTCTTCTTCTGACACTAGTGTCATATAAGAATGAGATATTCTATAAAATCATTGGATGTATCTGTATACTATATTCCATGCACGAAGATCTGGCACATTACGTACATCCTCTGACACCTGATACTCATGGTAGTCAACAAACATCATATCAACATATGTGCATAGTTCAGTGGCAAGAGCAGCAACATGGATCCTAGGTACACTTTACAGATACCTGATATGTTGCATTACTTGCTAATATATATATATATATATATATATATATAAACCAACCATATAGAGTACCAAGATATCACCTCCATAGGTTGTGTCTGACGGTGCAGTGCGTACGGTGAGAAACAAATATCATCCACATAATACGATCAAGAGCAAGTTTGTGCGACTTAATCCCCCTGAGTGGATTAATCAAGCACGCATGTGGTAACTCTTTTGTGTATTCGGAAATATATTCTCAGTCGATAATACTTAGGAAATGCTGAAGAATCCATGATTGAAAACGGTTCACATGAAATGCATCAATGTCAGACAATTAGATTAGTGGAATCAAAGGATTAAAAGAGTAATTAAACATTTATCTTACCTCTCCTTCGCATAAATGTATGGTAGTACGATGGAAGTAGTAATGTGTCATATAGACTTCCAAAAAATATGGAAAACCACTTGGTGCGACAACGTCGGGTCTGGCTGTAAGATGTGGGTCATATGTATGTACGACAACATTAGAAGCATGAAATGGAGCAGCATGTGCCCATCATGAGCCCAAGATACTTGGCCACGGGAAGATGACCTCTCAGCAGCCCGAGATGATTCTCCAACGACTCACAATAATTTGATTCTCTCCATATGTACTAAAGCATGTTGAATCACCCGGTCATGTATGTATATTGATTGTTCGTCAACTATTTTTCTACAATCACACAAGACAAGACAAGACATATTATTAGCAAATACATGCAGAATGACAAAAAGAATAACAAGCATAAAATTTTGGATTTTATTATCTGTGTTAGGTCAGAATTAGAAATTTGGATTATCATATGAGTGAATACTAATTTTGAAATATGAATTTTCTCGTGTAAGTGAGAAACCTCAATCACCTTATAACCCAAATGTAGAATGATTCAAACAAATGATGTAACATAATGTAGCTTAAGTAGTTTATAATGGATGTAACCTAATGAATTTAACTAGAATCATTTAAGGAATTGAATTTCATGCATCAATAGTAGAAAAAACAAGAATGAATGAGAAATTTATCAAAAGTGAGAGATGCAATTGCTTATCTTGAACGACGATGAGTAGAAGTTGATAAAGGTGTTTGGTTTGAATGAACTTAATAGATATTGAGAGAAATTAAAATGTTGAAAAAAAGTTGGACCCGTATTTGTGAGAGCTTTAGTGTTCTTGAGAGAAATTGTTTTTTTATTTGAAATATAGGGAAAGGTGATGGAAAGACTGCTCGCCCCACTCAAATGGCAACGTCCGAATTTCTTCAACGCCCATATGGTAAATTTAGATTTTGTAATCCAAACATTTATTTACTTGCCTTTGGTGTGGTATTGGTATTATGTTTGTAGTGTTGTGTTGCGTCCAGATTTTAAAATCCAGACGACGCAGAAGGAATATTTTTGAATTTTCATAAATGTGAATGAGTAATTGTTGGAACATGTCTATATTCCAACAGGGAGATGAATTTTAAATTTTTTCTTAAGTTCCACATTATTAGAAAAAGTAAGTGTGTTTGTAAATTAGTAGGGAATATTTCTTAGTCTCACATTGATTATATCAGATGTTTTGGCTAGCTTCCTTCATTATATAAGGAAATCGTTTGTTTCATTCCAAAACACAGCAAAAACTTTTATTGAGTATTTCCTTCTTCACTCTTATAACTATGCGTCTTTCAAATTATCAAAGCAAAACTTGTCTCTTTTTTTTTCTACTCGTTGAATTTTTCGAGTATTTTTTTGAATTTTCTTTAGATAATTATTTTAATTTCTCCTCGTTTGAGTTGAGAAATTATCAAGTATTGATTTTGGATTCTCTTTAGAGAATTATTTGAATTTCTCTTTGTTGAAGAAAATATTTTGAGTGGTCAAATGACCATTATTGAATTCTCTTTGGAGAACTATTTGAATTTCTCATCATTTGAGAAATTAGTGCGACTAGTCTTTGTACTAGATATGAGTAGTATTTATATCATATTTGACTAGTCTTTGTAACATAAGAGGGTGTAAATCTAGACCGATTATCTACCATGCAAGTAATAATCGTATAATATAAAATATAGTTGTTTTATTCTGAAGACGTCGTTGTTGAGTGACTACTTTGCACAACTTTAAACAGTGTCACAAAACGTCTTAAAGAAAGTGACCTAATTCACAACTTAATCTCATAATTTCTTCAAGTGACAACTTTTCAAAATCGTAAAACAACAATAATGATGGGGTGTAGTGAACAATTCTCTAAATCAATTGCTTGTTATCCAAGTTCGCTACAACTTGTATCAATCCATTGTTTGTGAGGCTTGCATCTTCTTATTAATATAAGTTAAAATCAACACATATTTTTACAAATTAAAAAAGAAGAAAAACAAAAAGTAATAGAAGATTTTTTTTCCTTCTCAAAAAGGAATTATCAATTTTACATATACAACAAAAGTCCATAAAGTTTTTTTATTTATTTTTTAATTTACACTTCATCACATGGTTCATCTAAATTTCAAGAGATCGAGCTTGCCTTTCTCTGATTCCTTCTCTGTTATTATATAATATAGGATAGGAAGTCAAGGCTTCAGAATTGCTTCGTTTTAGGTTTGGCTTTGGGCAAAAGCACAAGACGAACTTCATACCCTGGTTCACATTATTGAAGATTTACATAGATCACATATAAAAGTTGTCTATTCTCACAGCCAACAGCTCCAACTTAAGTTCTTTTAGGCCCTATTAAGCCATAAGACAGGAACAAACTGAAGCATACCAACCACAGAATCATGCCAATCATGCATTAAAGAATGCACTTCAAAATTTGAAAAGTGTTGCCAGCATGCTCTCATACTGATGGCATTCTCATATCTATCAACAAAACTTTATGAGCCTAACAAAGCAAGGTCTTTGAAGACCAATTGCAGAGAATGAATCTATTTGTTATCATATTCATCCATTTCAAGAACACTTGTGAGTGCCGACATCCATGCCTTTAAACCATTGGAAGTGTCCTTTTTCATCGATGCTAGTAATCTGTCAAGAGCTTGCCTTGATGCTCCATATCTAAGCATAAGATTTCTAAGTGATCTTAAACTACAATCATCAAGTCGAATTGAAGCTGTTACCATGTCCTTGAAAGTCTGTATTGCTTCTTTGGGTCTCCCAGCATTAGCATACAGGTCAAGCACATTGTTATAACTTAATGAATCTGTCAAGAGTCCTAATTTTTTCATCTGCTTTGCAATTTGAATTGCTTCATCATACCTTTCAATTTTCTTGTACAAAAATAACATCATTGCATAGGAGAACTCATTTGCAGTTCCATTTTTCTTTAATGTCTCAAATATCTCTTTTGCTGGGTCAATCATAGATTGTTTAGTATAAAGACCAATCATACAATTTGAAGAATATACTGCAGGACCTTCTTCTGATGATTCAAGCAGCTTGTATGTTTCTTGTGCTTCTTTCAGATAGCCAACTTTTGTATACAACTTCATCAAAGAATTATATATAACTGCATTCCCCGGCAAGCCAGCTCTTTTCAATTCATCGGGATAATATACAGCTTCTTTAAACCTTCCAGTGTCACAAAGACCATTGATCAATACCCCAAAAACTATAACATCGGGCTTCACACCATATCCGATCATTTCCTTGTACACATCTTCTGCCATTTCCAATTGCCCTAATTTTACAAAACTGGAAATCACAGCACAGTATGGGATGCAATTAGTCACGAATCCTGCCACCTGCATTTTCTTCAAATAAGGTTTGGCAATGTGAGGCTGGTCAGCACTGGCCAAAATTTGTATGAGAGAACCGTAGCTACACCTGTCTGCAGCTACACCGTGTTTATCCATACTATCAAACAATTGACACGCTTTATCGTAGCATTTCCCTATACCATAAGCTTTAATCATCACATTGAACTCAAGGGTACTGAGTTTCTTCCGTTCTTGGCACCAAAGGAAGACTTTCTCAGCTTCCAAAATATGTCCGTGCTCTCCATATGCATCAATGTTGGCAGCATAGCATTCAGATGGCATGTTGCCAGTCAGATGAAACCTATGAAACCATAACAAGGACCGCCCAAGCATTCCTGCTTCGATGTACATCCGAGTCAAAGCAGATTGGGTGAACTGATCAATTTGGAGGCCCTTCTTATCCATCTCTGATATAAGCTCTTCTGCTTCACAAACCATTTTCCTTATACTGTATGCATACAAGAGGGTACGGTAACTCACAAGATCTGGCTCGAGGCGGGCCGCCTTCATTTTTTTAAAATATTTCGTTGCCATATCGATATCATTATGCTTAGTATATAGAGAGATAATAATATTATAAGTCCTTGTGTCTGGTGAGCATTGCAACTCTTCCATTTTCTGCAGAAGTGAACTCAGTTCCTCTAACCGTCCATGGTTTCCACAAATGTGAATCATCGTATTGAATGTCACCGTGGTAGGCGGTATGCCTTGTTTAAGCATTTTAGCAAAAGTCTCAGAAGCTTCTTTAAGCTGACCAGCCTTTCCATAATTATCAATCAAAGTGTTATACGCATGTGATCCGAAAGAAACATCGGAAAAGGATACCCTCTCGTCCAATTCCGGAGCAGCTGTCTTACGATTATTACTTGGCCTCAAAGGTTCACCTAATGACCACTTTCGGAAAAATTCCCCAGCTTTCTGAAACTCCCCTGCTTTCTTATACAGTTGAACTACAATCACCATAGTAACCTCATCCGGTTCAATCCCATGTTCTAGCATAGTCTCAAGCCAGAAAAGCGCGTCTTCTCTTAGTCCACCTTTACTATAAACATCAATCAAAGTCCCATAAGTAGAATTCGTGGCAACAATCCCTCTAGCATTCATCTGATTCCACAAACCCTCCAAAAGCGTCCACTCACGCGCCTTCCCAAGAATCCTAATCATAATATTATAATGAATCACATTCAATTCATGAGAGTTATCATTAAACCAGTTGAAAATCTCCAAAGCTCTATCCCACTTCACCTGCTGCTTCAAAATAATACTTCTTTCCTTGTTGTTAATCTTGTTCTCCCACGGTCTTAGAGCCTCTTCAACATCCTGAATGGTATCCAAGTCTTTCAAAATGGAAGGAATGATTCCACCGTAAGAGACCCGTTTCGTCGAACAGTTGGTGTGCACACCAAGTTTCTTTTTTTGGAGAGACCCATCATCTGAATTCTTTTCAGGACCATGTTTCTTCAACTGGGTGTCTAGAGTTTTTCGAACTACAGTTCTTTGTACGCGCTTAAGGATGGTTGTTCCGGTGTTGAGAGGGAGTCTCTGTTTTCTAACTGTGGTGTTGGAAACTTGTTCGGCTTTGTCTGTGTTGGTGGTTCCATATGCGAGTATGGGGTTGTGGGTGTATAAGAGTTGCAGCTTCATAGACATTTCTAGGATCAGAAACAAGGAGAGGTAGTTGACACTTGGTTTGATGTTGAGAAACAAGTGACAGTGTGAGAGACAAAGTTTTGTTTGGTTGTTTTGATTTGAATTTGGCGGTTTTTGATGGGAATGTCTATGTACACCTAGAGTGGAAAAAAACATCTGAAAATCTGAAAATATTTGTAGGAGATACATTTTCGAACACACTTCAAGTTAAAGGTATTTTAGAGATATATCTTCGAAAACAATTTATTTAAACTTAGACATTATATTTAAACATGTATTAATATTTTCGGAAATGCATCTCCGAAACATTTCAATTTAGTACTTTCGGAGATGCATCTCCGAAACTCTGAACAATAATTTTTTTTCAAATCAATAGTGGATTGATAAATAATTAGATCAAAATTATAATAAAAATGCAAATTAAAAATGATAAGACATAAATAACTATAAAAGACACAATAAGTTATTTATAATTAAAAATAATATTATAATAATCGTTTAGAAATTAAAAAAATAAAAATAAAAAAAGATAGACTATTAGGTATGCCTGATCATCACTCTCTGGCCCCTCCTTTGTCAACTGTATTATGTCGCACTCTCTTCCTTCCCAATCATCTACTTTACAATCGTCACCGCCTCAGGACCGTCCCGGTCAATGATACCTATGTCCAAAGCCTCTCGCTCAATCATTTGTATCTGGTGACAGATACGCAAGAGATCAACGACATGGTCATCATCGGCCTGTTGATTCTCTAAGATCTCCTCGTGAGCTGACCTAGTGGACGTCCAAGAGCATCCGATGTCATGACAGGATGTGACACTGTGTATAACCATGATATGTATCCCTCAACACAATGCCAACTACTGGTTGCTTGCATTATCCGATCCTCCTTGGACACCATATGATTCTCCCAATCCTGGAAGATGCCATCGAGCTCCCGACGGACAATAGTGTCGGGAGCAGCCTGAAAGGGAGATCTGGATATGGTCTCCATATAGTCAAACAGCCGTATGCGTCACTCCAGCAGATATCTAACCATAGTGTTAGTCCCACATGCTAGCCACCCAGAGTACAATATATGGGCTCAAATTAGATAATTTTCTGGTGTCCTTCGAACAACGTCCATTGGATGTCATCATGGATAGTTCTATCCAGATACACCAAGAAAGGCAGCACAACCTGGTTCCCTCTATGGGCGACATACCAAGTAGCTCTCGGCATGTCCTCACTATAATCTAGAGCATAATCGAAACCATGGATGCAGTGGAAGTGAGAAATTATCCAGCCTTGAAAAATGAATAGGATTCATGTAAGAACAAATTTTAGTTATTAATAGTTGAAATCATAATTACCATCAGCAGTGTAGCAAAGCCTGTCAGCTGTCGTGTCCTCTAGTTAGAGGCTTCATTCAGATTTTGGTACATGTATACCAAACAGCCAGCCTCTCAGTTTCAATCCCTCACCCTATCTAAATCCATGAAGTACTGGAGGTATGCTACACCAACGTAGTTGGCGCTTTTGTCCATAAAAATGGGCGTTCCAACCAAGAACATAAAGTAATACCTCAGAGCATATTGACAGTGATAAAGAACAAAGAAGTCGTCTCCCTCTTACTGGGAATCAGCTGTCGCAGAGAGGTGCTGGTGATATAGTAGATTAAGGAAAGAGAACTTGGCATGAGCCCCATTGGTGGAGAAACACTGCTTAAATGCCTCTTCTAGATCAGATCCCAGATAGTCGACCATCAATTCAATCACATAATTATGATCGATCCGGAAGTGGTTAAGTAAACTCCCTCTGATAGGAAGGTGTAGCAGGAAGGCGATATCATCAAGTGTGATCGATATCTCCCCAACTGGAAAGTCACCTCTCCACAAATTCCCCGTGCATGTCGTGGTTGATGGTGTTGTAACCAGAACAACAAAGGTCGGTAAGTCCGGAGGAAAAAAGGCCTCTCTAAACCAATCCTCATCAGGGGGATGCAGCTCCGATATCTTCCGTATGTGGTTCATGCACTTTAGTGGTTGTCGTTCCTGTAAAGATAAATAATTAATATCAATTTTAACATATTAGTAAGTAAATTATTAAAATGAAAATTATAACAAAAATTAATATATATGTCCCTCCGAAACATATCGAGCGACATGATCGGTGTAATAGATCAAGAGGGAGGTGTCAGACGACCCTCCAGCAAAATCTGGGTTAGCTTCCTCCTCGGGTTCCAGAACCTGAACACGCTCGGGTTCCTCTTCCTCGTAATTCCTAGACGAGGACGCACGTGAAAGTCGACTCCTCGGAACAGAAGTCAATGTTTCCTCCACTTTCATCTGTGGTAACAGACCGCGTCCTCGACGACTCGTAGTCTGCTCATCTCTCTCTCGTCGAGCGGATGCAGTTTGGCTAGGCTACCAAGTCTCAATTCTGGAAAAACAAAAAATCGTTAATCAAATCAAAGGTAAGCGAACGAACAAGAACATCTTTAAAATTAAAAAATAAAAGTAAGCTCAGGCCTTTTTTTGGAGATGCATCTCCGAAACACATCAAAGGGGTTTTCAGAGATGTATCTCATAAAAAACCTGCGACTTCCATTGCCCAACCTTCAACCTAACAACACCATTCTTACACCAAAATCCAATTTTTACACATAAAAAGGAGCTTTTTTACTGTTTGTACATAATCTGAACAACTTAAAATAGAAACGCAAAGATTAAAGTATATTAGAGAACTTACTCAAATTTGAATATTTTAGAGTTGGTGTGAGTTGTAACAAGTGCAAATGACTCCACCAACTTGAATGAATTTTGAAAGTAGAAATTTTTGAAGGTTTTTGGGTGGTTGAGAGTTAGATTTTGGAAGAAATGAGAATAAGGGGTGGTTGTTCATATTTGTTTATGTAATACCCTATTTCAGAAATGCATCCTCGAAACACCCATGATTTTGAAAAAAAAAGTGTTTCGGTAATACATATTCAAAATAACCCCAAAAAAATAAATTGTGGTGCGTTTGGAGATACATCTCAGAATTCTGGGGGTAAAAACAAAATTTTGCCAAAGGTGGCTAAGAAGGTGTAAGGGTGGAGAAAGAAATTCCCTTTTTGTTTAAGTAGGAAAATGAGTCTTTGGACTGGAGTGAAGTTGCATGCCAAAGGGGAAAAATATTTTTAAAGTCTAATTTTATGACAATTTCTTAATGCACCCCATAACCTTCTAGCGCACAATGCGAAAATACTATAATGTCCTTAGATTCCAGAGATATATTTTCTGACGCACCAAATTTCAATTGAAATATAAATTACTTGGAAAATGCATATACATAACTGTTGTACCCCAAAATTTGCCCTCTCATTTATCAAGATTTTCCTCACAAGACTTCTTGGACTCAAGACAAGATTAGGGTTTAGTCAGCTCAAGACACCTCCTCTTGCACTGATGACCTGAAATTAGGGTTTGAGTTTGCACAAGTATTTTTGGACCATCAATGCTTCATGTGACTTTCATACACCATCTTGGACCCCTAAGATTGCTCATACCAAGTTTCAAGCCTTGAATCACATTTTTGCCCAGTCAATTGGACAATTGACCTAAAAATCAGCTGTATTGGGGAAAAAGTCAACCATGGACAATTCACAGTCAAACTTCATAATTTTTTATCCACAACAAAATTTTGGACTCATATGTACCATTTGATCAAGTTTGGATCACAACTCCTCAAGAAATTTGATCAGATCATCAAAAGGGCAAAATGGTCAAAATTAGGGTTTTGACTGAGAAAGGGCAATTTCTGATTTTTAACCTAGACAATGACCAATTGGGTTCAAGCATGATTTCAAGGACTCAATGGCATCATCTTGACCTAATTGCACAAGTCAAAAGATCTCAAGTACATTGAATTGATAGATGAATTTTCCAGTCAACTGATCAAAAATTAACTGTACACTGAAAAGTCAAACTTTGACTTTTTGGTCAAAATCAAGTGCCAAGGGTCATAATTCATCAAGACATGTCAAAATGTGAAACTCGTTGACCAAGAAACCTAAAATTGCAAATTAGGGTTTTAATTTGAAATTTTTCATAACTTAGAATTTTTCTAAGTATGGAAAATTTCTTATTTTCCCCCAACTTTTCCCAACTTTTTGACCATGATGAAATTGGATTAAAAGAAAACTTCCAACATGAAAGTTGTATTCCTCCATGAAATATACAACTTTTCTTCACAAAGTTTTCTCAAAAGATGCTTGGATCTCAAGTTATGATTTTGTGAATAGGGGTCCATAAACTAAATAACTTAGTGAAATTTTGTCCTAGTTTAGGCAGGTTTTTGACCTAACTTCATGGCAACTTTTCACCTAGTTCTAAGAGGTATCTCAAGTTGCATTTCAAATATGGTTTGTAGAGCATGTTTCAAGTTTTCCAAAATGTCCAAGAACTCTCCAAGATCATTTGTGGTTAGGGAGAATCGAAGAAGAGAAAATGACATTTTATCACTTTTGTTCAAGCCATTTTCACAATGCATCAAGTTGCAAATCAGATCCTAGCATGCTTGTACCTTGCATTACAGGTCCCAAATCCCTTCTACACTCCATAATTAAATGCAAACTCAATGGATAATGGCTTTATTTTGACCTTTGGAGCATTGTACAAAGAATAAATCCATTTATGCCATAAAGGGCACATTGCCATTTTCATAAAGCAAGCTTTTTGCAACTTTACAATTCTTGAGCCATGGACCTGTTTCTTTTGTGCAAGAATTGTCCACAGATATCAAGCATTATTCACCAACTCTCTTCATCCTACAAGCAAGCAAGTACAAGCCTTTGGCACAAGTCATTTCACTTTTCTTCAAAAGCAAGAGAAATTGCAAAAGTCAAGAGAACTTGCACATCTGTTAAAGGGTGAACTTGCTTTCATTCAAAACAACTTCAAAAACTTGTTACAAGCTAGAACACGAATTCATAGCATCTGAAACTCTCCCAAAACACAAAAACACATTTTTCTGCCCA